CAGGCTGACCTCTCATCACTTCTAATGACGTTAATAGAGCTAATGGTACCTGAGGGGCGGGGCATTAGTGGGTGGAGTTAGTAGGTGTGGCTTACTTGAGATAACATAGCAGTGAATGCCCAGGGCCTTAACATACGCAAAGGAATACTAACCAAATACTGAGAGGAAGAGAGAGAGAGGGTTTAATGTGATAAAATGATGAACTCTTTCCTAGTCATTTTTCATGACATACCCTACACTATAGAGTACAGCGTCTTTGGTATAGAAGCACTTGATAATACTAATAGACTATTGTGGAATGATCCACTGTACTATTATATCAAGCCAGGATTATTATCACAGTAGATAATCATAATACTACAGACACTGGGTATCTCCCTAAACTGATACCATTATACCATACCATATATGGTAATAGACTAGTAGTTTATAAAAATCCAATTTCAATCAAAATCAGCTCAAACTTTCTACACAATACACAGCATAAGAACATGTACATTCATCAGATACCCTGTACCCTATACAACAAGCACAGTATAATGTCACTCACTTCATGAAAGAAAGCTGATAGCAGGAACACTGCTATCTGAGACATTATCGTGGAATACCCTCTACTGAGCAACGGGTAGTACACATGCCTATTAATAACCATTAATAACCATTAATAACTAGCTCCACCCACCTGGCAGCCCAGCGGTGCACTGGTACGTTCCAGTGTCTCCAGAAGGTATCAATACTATCAGCGTTCCACCAGTCCTTGTAGAAGGAGCGATCACCAAACCTCAGTAACTCAGCAAGGACGTTGAGATAGGAATGGAAATAAAAATAGTATAACAATAACCAGAGGAGGTGATTAGGGAGCTATTGGGTGGGAGGGGCTAATGAATATTAATGAGGTAATTAATTAACTAACCGCTAGTAATAGTCCTCTCTGTATCATCATTAATAAATCCATTGACTAGTAATAAAAACAGTAATAATAATAATTAATGTACATGTATACAGAGCAAAACTGTTTTAGGTTGAAATCTTTTGCTAATGATTAATATTTGCAATTATAACTTATTCATCTTGAGGCCTAAACTGCTGGATTCACAAAGGATTTCAACTTCATTATTATTATTATTATTATTATTATTATTATTATTATTATTATTATTATTATTATTATTATTATTATTATTATTATTAATTACCTGAAGTGGTTCCAGTGATCCCATTACAGTAGGTACTAGCCATTGCTGGGATAATGCTAATAATATATTAACTAGAAATATCTAATTAATAGAAATAAATTAATAATAATAATGATACATTAAACGTACTGATTCAAGTGTTCTTCTTAATAAAAATATTTTCCTAATTTTTGGAGTCCGAGGATAATTCAACTCATAACACAATGTAGGAGCAGCAATGAAATAACAAAAATCTAAAAAAATTTAAAATTAATAATAATAATGAAAGGGGCTTACCCTTAACAGTGATATTATCAGGATACTGAACTAATGGTTTGTCGTGGTTATTATTAGTGGGTGTGGCTACTCCACCTTGACCACACCTACACCATGAATTGACTTGAGTATATGACATCATCTTCATCCAAACAATTGAATAATTGAACATGACAATAAAACCAGCAGCTATAGAACAACAACAACAATAATAATAACAATAATAATAAACATACCTGGTCCTAGTTTGAACCAGAAGACCACACCCACTGGTAGTGCCAGTAGCATTATCATGTTGCTGGCATGTAATATCAATAGGGGACGCTCCTTCAATAATCCCTATTAATTAATAATTAATTAATTAATAATAGGCTCCACCCATTACCTTTGAAGCAGCTTTCTCAAGGAGAAACGTCAATAATGGAAAGACAGAAAATACTAAAAATAAAATAAATAAATAATAAATTGATAATTAAAATACGAGGAATATTATCACAATTTAGCACATTCACTGTATAACAATAGAAATATGCAACAACAATTACTGACAGACACTCTACACTGTACACTGTACACTGTA